CCCAAGCTCAGTAGTATCTTTGAGCAGCAGTTTTACCATCATGATACTCTCCAACTGGTCTAGACTGATTGTAAAGGATTGATTGTTGACAGAGGTGTCCCATCAGCCTAGCTGAGCTAAGTGGTCTTGAAAGTAGTACGGAAACAATAAAAACATCAATATATTTACCTTGCATAGATAGGTATTACTGTAATTGTTGAGTGATTTTGTTTCTCTATTCCAAAGCATATTTCAAGGTAGGAAAAGACAGAGCGTTTTTGGTTAACTTTTGAAATTCTGGGTTTGAACTTCTGAAGATCTTGTCTCATATGACTTCTATGTCCATGAAAGCATTCAGTGATGGAACTGAGATTGCTGTGTTCATGTCCTATGTTTGAGCCCCCAGCCAGGTCCCCGCTGCCTGAGGAAAATGCTCCATTGTTTCTTAAATTGGGAGACTGACAGTTTCAAAACAGACAAACAAACTAACAAACAAAGAGGCAAAGGAATTCTATTGTAGTTTAGAATAATTCAACATGAATGATTATTCCTTGTTATTTGAGTAGTCTGTGTAAACAGTGCCAAGACCACAGATCCAAAGCACAGATAATTTATTACTCTTAGGAACTTTTTCTGAGTGTAATAAAGCATGAGGGCCATTTAAATAAAATTTCAATGTTACAGCAGGCCCCAATGCCTGCCACAATGTAGCCATACCCATGCAGTGAGGGTGCATCTTTCATTCTCTCTCAGTTTGTACAGAAATGTTTGACTTTCCCGTGCAAGTCTTACAGAAAGCAAGGAGAATGTCTCTTTGTGAGAGGTGTATAAACATGTCCTTGAAGACTGAATGGAGAGGGGCATGTTCTGCTGAGGAGCTGGCAGTTTTTCTAATCTTTACCACATTTAACTATTGTCCTTCCTGTGTTGTCTCATACTAATGTGACTCTCCCCATCATATTCTCTCCCCTAAAACCTTGCTGTTCGTTATACCAGAATAAATATTCAGCATTTAGAAAGCAATTTTAATACATTCTTGCCTGAATAGAAAAGTGCATGGCTATTGACTTCAGAGAAAAATTAAAGTATTTTTTGTGCTATGACCTTACAGATTTTACTTAGCCATGCAATAAGGCTTTATTTTGTGAGAAATGGTAGGGTTTTACTGACAATTCGGAGAGCTTTTAGCAAAACATTTGTGATTAAAGTACTAAAGATTATTTTATACCTAAAAACCAACAGAAACTTGTATTCACTCGGTCAAAGCAATTTAATAAAATGCATTCAAATTAGCTCTTCTTAACAAGCCACAGGGCCTGCCAAATTGTATTTTGAAAGACAAATGAGCACACCTTTGCCGATAAGACCCTTTATGGCTATTTGAGACACGCTTGTGCTAATTGTGTTTGACTGCCAGGTGGGAGGCTTGGGGAAGGAAACGTTTGTCACAGGCTGCCAAATCCTGAAGCATGTATCATTTCCCCATGTGTTGTTGCGCTAAACTGCTGCAGTGCTACGGCTGAATTAAAGAAAAGGGGAGCAGGCAACAACTAAATTATGTACACACCTCTTAAATAATTAGTGAATGTTTCTTACACTGTTCCTTGGTAGTGGAGACAGGTCTCACGCTTCAGGAAGATAAAGAAGTGTGTGAAGTTCTGAGTTATTTCTGATGCCTTTTGTTTGGGAGCTTGTGAGATAAATCTTCCACTGGTGGTAGAAGCAGGGCAGATAGGTGCTCTGAGCCCTGACATGGGGTAAAGCGAGGAGGAGGAGGAGTCAATGATGCAACTCTGTGTGGGATCTTGTGCAAAACTTAAAAGTTTTTTTGGTGGGGTCGGTTTGAATTTTTGTTTTTAATCACTGACAGATAACAGCTTGTGAAGCCAGCCTCAGAGTCAGGCTTTCTCAGGGGTAGGACCCACAATGTCTGTTATAAAGGTTGTAAGTTGAGGTATGAATAGGATTCCTGTCTCTTGTGGTGGTGATCTCCTTGTTAAACGATTCAGGCTTTTGAACTATTCTCATAGCTGGTGCCGGAGAAGAAAAATGAAAACGTTTCCTTTTTTTCTACAAATGTACCCACTAGTCCACACTTTGATAGTTTGCAGCTTTCAAATCATTCAAGCTTGGAGGTATGAGAACAACTTCCCTGTAGGAATGGGGTGTGTGAAAAATTTGAATGCTTTCAAATTGAGGTTTATAGGATCATATGTTTGCTGTAAGAATGGATTAGATACAGGGATGCAAGTGCAAATTTTCCATCCAGATTCTCAAGCCCTTACCAGTATGGCTTACTGTTACTTTGCTCTATATTGAAAGATTAATTCCAGTGAATTATTTGTATTGTGTTTCTGGTTGGTGGGCTGCAAAATCATGGTTGTGTGGATGCAGTGCGCCATCACCTTAACTTCTGCTGAGGCTGTTTAATTGCAGCCTGTTAGAAACCATATTTTGCTAAGTGCTTAAAGATGTCAAAGAATCAGCACTGTAGCATTCGCCCTTATATAGCTGGTCAGCACAGTCTCCAAGTCATCCCTATCATCCACCTGCTCCAAACCTGCGTTACTTGAGCACATACTTGCCAGTGCCCTTACTGTGTATTTTCTTTGCTTGTGGACTTCTTCATGTTTATTTGTAATATTAAGTGAAAAATTTAATTACAATGAAATGGCATTTTTGCAATGAACTACTGCTTTCTCCAAATTTTAAGATGTTTTTGCCTAACTGAAACTCCCAAATGAAAAGAGATTATTTTTAAATTTTCTTATTCCTTTCACAGTTGAGTAGCAAATAAAAAGCAATTGCATGAACAAATCTGAAAAAAAGAGAAACCAGGAAAAAATTGAACAAAGCAAACCAAACATTTTCACAAGTAAAATAAATGAATGTTTTAAAATGATTTTTTAAATTATTATTTAAAAAACTTCCATGGAGGTTATTTTACATTTTTTTTAGCCTGTTTGCAAAATCTTGTGACCATTCTTCTATAAATTTAGTAACTTTTGATGCAGGTGTACTTCACACAGTCACGAAGGGAGTTTAAAGAATTTGGCACTACATGTTTCTTCAAAGAATAAGACATGAACACCTGGTAACGCCCATATTCCAGTGTTTGTTCCTTACGTGATCAGGGTGAATATTTGCTGACTGTGGGAAAACGTGAGAGTTTTACCAGATTTGATGGCCATTCTAATTTAGATGGTCCCCTGAAATTTCCATTCTTGATTCAAACCATCTGGATCTATAAAACTGATTTCTACTCGTGCCTTGCCTGTAGGACTGTGAGGCTCTTCTTGTCACTGCAGTCAATTTAACTCTGACTCCCACTGCTGACTGTGCAAATTTGATGTGTTTCACAGAAAAATGTAAGAAATTCTATAGTGATCAGTCGTAGGATAAAATTTCTTTATTTCTAATTTTTTGATTAATAATTGGCCTATAGACCATTTCTACTATTAAGATCTGTCCTCAAAAAAACAAAACAAACCCAAACCAAACCAAAAAAAAAAGAGATTTTGGGTTATACCTGAGATAAACTTTCTGTTTGGCAATTTTGAATATCAAGCACCTCAAAAATATCCAAACTGTAATCTGAGTTCATTAGAAACTATCTTCTTTTATAGTGGTTTTCTGCTCGTGACGCACTGATTTTTTAAAATAATTGCTGCTATATGAAGAATTATAGCATATTCCAGTTACTCAGTTATGGGTGGAAAGGAAAGACTGTACTTCTGAAGGAAAAAAACCCAAAACCCAACATAAGCGTTGTGAAATTCAAAAGTGATGAAAACCTATGACAGTTTATGAGACATGCCCGACAAAAATTTGCAGCTATAACTGTAGTTGTCAGAAATTTATTTGTGATAAATACCCATCAGCTACAAGCATCACAGACATATTTTGGTGAGTTTCTTTAAGGTCTCCATAGCTTTAACCTGAGAAACCTGGCAGGGCTGGTAGACTCAGTCTGGTCTGCAGTTTCTTGGTTCTTGTGCTGGATGGCAGCCAGTGCATTAGCGCTGGACCCGTTCCTGCCTGTGCCTGGAATTACTCCCTGGGAAGCAGCACAACCCCCACCAGGCAGCGTTGCGGAGAGGCAGAATACTTGGGTAAACTCAGGCCATCTGTTGGTTGCATAAATTAGTTTTCCTCATTTGCCCATCTAGCCATAAGGTATCTACTTTTTTTCTTCTCCTCCCCCCCCAGTAATGTATTTTTTCTTTATCCAATTCTAGTAGGACAGAGATAGGCAAATGGATTTCTCGTTACTTTTCACTTCTTGTGGTTGCGTGCATTTCATTGTAGTGGCTTTGTTTAACAAATCAAATTATCTCCTTTATGTACGTGTTCTGCTTTGGAAACAGTTAGTGGCTTTTCACCAGAAATGACCTTTATTCATGACAGAGGAGAAACACAATTATAGTTCTTTCCCCCTCTTCCCCTCATCTTTTTTTCCCCTTTCATTTTTTCCCCATTTCCCCTTTTTTTTCTTTGCCCTTTTCCCCCCTTTTCTTATTTGTTTTCTTCCTCTTCCTCTTCTTTCCTCATGAATACTAACACTATAATATGAATAAATAGATAAGGGACTAAACTGATTACATTAGCATTACTTAAATGATTTGTTTCAAACGGTATGTTTGTTGTTCAACATTCAAGAATTAAATTCAGCAATAGCTATTTGATTTCAACTTCAGTCCTTTTAAAGGATCTCCATTTTACTTTTCTCCCAGCACTCTATGGGAATCAGATTCCTTGAGCATTTAACAGTTGAGTAGTCTGTCACTGGAAACAGTCAGTTTTAAAGATTTATTAAATGATTTTTAATAGCACCTTCTACCTCTCAGACAAAAAGATGAAGTATTTCTTTCACAAGGCACATTTGGATTTTCCTAACAGTAGTCTTGCTGAAGCTCTTCAGTAAGAACAGAGGACATCTTGATGCCTGTTCTGTCAAGTCACTTTCCTTATTTTGAATGTATGCTGCCATTTTTATTTATTTCCCTTTTTTCCTCTTGCAGATTTATGTGAAAAACAGGAATTTGTATACTGTAGAAGCCAACAACCCTCGTCAGCTAGTGGAAATTGCAGCCAGAGACATTGAAAAACTTCTGAGTAACAGGTCTAAAGCCTTGGTGGTGAGTATTAATGGGTTAGGTTTTCTATTTAGCATTTAAAAAAATCTTTATTTATTATTGAAACATGCTTTTATCATTATTTTTGCTGCCTATACACTTACAGGCAGTGTCAGCCTGGTGTGTACAGGACATGACATGCAGAAAGATGGCTTCATGGTAGAAAAGGAACTCATTAGTTCATTGGCATAGGGCAGATGTTTATAGTATTGACAGACAGATTAGGAACCACGGCCAAGTAACAAATCAAGTTATAAATAGATTGGAAAATATTCCTCTATGTGACGCACATGAATGTTTATGACTTGAAGATCACACTACTCTACAGTCAGTAATGATCTTGGGGAAACAAGAAGTAGAGCTTTTTTTAAATGTGATTTAAAAATAATGATATCTTTGAAGTCGTGATGTTCATTTTGGTATTATTGCTAACTGCATCAGTTGATATTTGGTCTCTTCGTCTTTTTAGTTACTCAGTCTTTCTTGATGGTAGCAACTAATTCTTCTCCTTTGACACATGTAGCCATGTGTGAATCAGATTCATTTCCATACCTATTCTATTTCTGACTTGCTAATTTAATCTGTATTTCAATCATGTTTTGTATCAGCAAAGTTAATCCTGAACTACTAGTGTGAAGACCGTGCTGCATTGTAACCTCATGATTCTTTATGCTTTAAATAAGAAGTAGCTATTTCTTTAAAGTGCTTTTGCCAGCAGTCCTTTTCTCTTCTGTCCTGTAAGACTCCCAACCTGGGTAATTGCTTTTTATGATTCCTACGCACATCACTTTGACTCGTAGAAGAGTTTCGAGTGCTTTTCAGAAGATACTGACCAAACATGCATGGGGGGATCCGGATGAATTCATATACATGCTTTTTATGGAGTAGAGCTATTAGAAATAGGTTTAAAGGATGGAACAGCAGACTAGGATTCCCTGAGCAATTACATATCCATGTAGACTTGCAGATGAGTTTGGACGTGTCATTTAAAGTGAAAGAGAGAAGAAAGAGGGATTAATTCACCTAACTGTAGACATCTACTCAGCTGGTCGTCCTAAGCTCCTTCTTTGTTCAGTGAAAAAAAACAGGCACTTCTCAGTCAGGATTGACCTGACATGTTCTGAATAAGACTTTAAAATGGGATGAACTACAGCCCAGAAGTACTTACTTCTCTCTTTCTCTATCAGAGGAGCCTCAGTGTATATGTCGATACTGTAGGTGTGTATAGTTGGGGGAGATGAGTCCCACCCAAGCAGTCCTTTTATCAGTACAGTTTCATGCAGCTGAAGAATCAGTCCGAGAGTGAAACTGCTGCTGCGCACTTTTCCTGATGACTAGCCTTCTTGTGGGTGATGTGAGTTTGCTTAGTCTGGTGTCCGTGCATAGGTACCACAGGAGGTACCCATTTTCCCGCTTTTTGTTCTTAGCAGGAGGTCACTCTTCCAGTTCCCTTAGTTTCCATAACACGCAACGTACATCAGTGTTGTCTGGGCCAAAGCTTCTCTGCTTCAGTGAAATAAGTGTAAAATAGATATGATTTTTTTGTTTGTTTTCCTGTTTTAACTTGGTGGGCATGTGTTTATGTAGCACTCTGTGGACTTTGTATTATTATTGCAAAATATTATACGTCATTTGCAGACCTTTGTGAACACACCAGTTTTTCCACCATTTTCACACCAACCCATATAAGTCTGATGTTTTTAAGTTATCACAGCCAAATCTTGTATTTTCTTGAGATTCAAGATTAACGTAGGGGTTTGTGTGTGTCTATGGTGGCTTGACCTTAAAACTTTAAGAAAATTAAATAAGTATCTCATGTTTACTTTAGAAAAGATTCCAGAACAGTTTTTCTGTGAATGTGGAAGAAGAAGGGTACCTACCTCATTTTAGGCAAGCCCATGGTCACTTTTTGAAAAGGGTAATACGATTCAGTTCCCTGACATAAAAAAAGATTAAATTAGGGGAAGGATGTTCCTTCAGTTCCATTGCTCTTTTTTTTTAAAAAAAGAAGTCTTGTAGTCTTCAGAACTTCTCAGATAATTTTAAATTACCAAGTCAATGCATCTTGAAGGCAAATAAAAAGTCCTCCAGATGCATTAGTGGCTAAAGACTTATGACTTTAAAACCAGTTTTATTATTTTGGAGGATGTGACTCATGATGGCTTTGATGCTTGGGGTTGCCATTACTGCCAGTGCTGCAGTGAATGTACAATACTTATTATTTTTAGCTGCATGCCATCATTTCAGGATGCGTGTCAGCAAGACTTCTGCATGACATCTTTATCATTCTTGCCACTTCATGCAGAGTGAAGTTCGTCCCCAAACAGGTGAAAATAACTGAGCTCCCCACACACATTTCACACAACTGAATTTGATTTGCCATCCTTTAAATACTGATCAATGATGCTTCTTTTCAGTGTTGGAACATCTCTAAATTTTTTTTTTAATTACTTTTTTTTTTGTAATTGCCTGGGAATCACCAGCATTTACAAACATTAATTACATGATTACAATGCATATGTAATATTCTTCTTGCAGCAAAGTGATTGAAATGACCTATTGAAACATTCCTCTACTCCAGTTCAAGACGGATGGAGCTGTCTTACAGAGGCGGTCAGGTTTCAGTCTTGCCGAAACTTTCTGTGAACTTTGTGTACTTTTTGTGTCCTAATTATATATATATATATATATATATAAATGCTAATTTTATATATATAAAAATACATATATATTTATTTGGTAACCTACTGTGCTTTTTTTAGGCAAGTGGTATTTAATTTCTCTCTATATTTTCTAGTTTGTTTTTTTATTTCTTTTTTAAAAATTATTTAAAAAAAGTATCTACATACATTTTAAAAATAAAAATCTATCAAACCCACTTTCTTCAGAAGAGCTTTCTAGAGGTGGTTGGTCATAGATGGTTCCTGAGAAAACTTACTTTTCCTTTTGTATCAAATGCCGGACACAGCCAAAGCCAATGCATTCAAAAATGAGTATAACCTCTCAAGTTAGTAAAACTGACTTAAGCTTTTAAATATTATTTTTATTATTACTAAATTGATTAAACTTTTTAATATTATTTTCATTGTTTGATTTAGCTTCTGATTCCTGATTCAGACATTTTTCTCAACCATTATCAAGGTTAGCTGTTCTGGGGAATTCTCTTGTTTCTGTAAAAAATGTATTTCTGATGTATATTCATGTACCCAGGGGCTTAGTCTGACTTAAAAAAAGAAAAGAGGAAGAGGCCTAAAAAGCATTACTTACAGGGAAAAATACCCTTTTATTAATATCAGTCCTAATCAGATCTCTTTGCTGACTCATATTCTACATGGTTGTTAATTTTGGATCACTTCATGTTGGTTTCTCTCAGTCTATCATCTGACCTTAAGAGCTCCTAACGGCTCAGATATTTACACTGGCTTTTCTATTTGTAGTTATCCCGGATTTATATCAGAGCTTTCAATGACTTCTGATTTCAAACCTTCCTCTAGATTATTTATATACACAGGAGACACTCACTTCTTATCTCCTGCATCTGAACTATTACTTTCTACTAAGAGAATTTCTTCGCCTTCCATATGTATTTCTCTTTCTTCTTTTTTCAAGGACTATCTTTATGCTGGCATTTTGTAGACTCAGTGCTTTGCAAATGGCTATGTATGTAGCAAAACCGAATTATTTACCTGAAATTTAAGTCTGCTTATATCTGCTGGGTCACATTTTCTCTGAAATCAGGAGTGGAGTTGAATGGAACTGTTATTAGTGACTGCACACAGGGTTTTACCATTGGGGCTAATATGACTCAAAGTGTTAATTTAGACCTGAATCCTGAAAAGCGTATGATGCAAGAGGATCGTACATCCTCCAGTGATGCCAGGAGGAAGGTGCCAGTGAATGACATCAACAGTGTCATTGTTCAGGGACTAGCATACCCCAGGGATGCCATGATTTTCTCTAGGCGTGCTACACAAACAATCTTTGGGCAAGGTTATAATTAGCAAATATTAGTGATGACTTTTCTCATGATAAGCTGGCTTCCCTTGAGCTGCAAGAGCACCTTTAAATGAGAAGTAACTCTTGCATTCCAAATTATTTGTGTTTTTTCATGCAACTTTGTGCTAGAAAGCTCTCTAGCTATGACTTAAGGGTAAAATTCCTTAGTGGTTCTGTGCATTTGTGATGGGTTGACCTTGGCTGGACACCAGGTGTCACCAAGCCGCTCTATCACTCCCCTCCTCAGCAGGACAGGGTGGGGGAGAAAATGAGATGGAAAAAAAAAACCCTTGTGGGTCAAGATAAAGGCAGTTTAATAAAAGCAAAAGCAAAGGCCGCATGTGGAAGCAAAAGGAAAACAAAAGATTTATTCTCTACGTCCCATCAGCAGGCAATGTCCAGCTACTTCCCGGGAAGCAGGGCTTCAGTATGTGTAGTGGTTGCTCCGGAAGACAAACGTCATAAATAACAAATGGCCCCCACATCCTTCACCTTTCCCTTAGCTTTTATTGTTGAGCAGATGTCATATGGTATGGAATATCCCTTTGGTCAGTTTGGGTCAGCAGTCCTGGCTATGTCCCTTACCAAGATCTTGCCCACCCCCAGCCTACTGGTGAGGGGGGGAAATGTTGGAGAGACAGCCTTGATGCTGTGGGAGCACTGCCCAGTAGTAGCTGAAACACTGGTGTGTTACCAGCACCTTTCTAGCTCCCAATACAAAGCACAGCACTGTGAGGGCTGCTATGGGGAAAATTAACTCCATCTTAGCCAGGCCCAATACAGCATTACACACAAGAGGCTTGGAAAAGCTTTGTGATTTCATTTCTGGTTTATATGACAAAAGATTATAATGAAAACCTGGACAAAGATGACTTGCCCCACTGTAAGGAAAAAAAGTCTGGGTTTATTTTTTCATGTGTATGAATTTATGCTTGGGAGAAGCTTAAGAATGGTGGTTGAAATAGGTACCTAGCTGGGGAAGGAGAAAGGGGAAAATCCTGATCTGA